CGGCGGCTGATGTGGTTTAGGGATTTTGCGACTGAGTAGTGGCCGTTTTAGGGATTTTATGACTAATGTGGTGATGTGGTTTGTCTTCGTTTTGGGGTAAATGTAATCTGACACAAGCTGCAACAACGATCGAGTATCGAGCTGGAAGACTCGACTGATGATGCAAGCATTCTCAAGATCACGAGCAACTCAAATCGAGCTCATATCTACTCAACTATTTTTGCGAGCCTAAATTGGCGCTCGAACTCAAACTTCTACTCGATGACAATCGAATCGAGCCTCAGCTTGTGACGAGTCGAGCCCGAGCAGCTTACACCCTATTACCATTTTTTTTAATAAAACTGAAAGAATTGTCCATCAATATACAAAAAGTTGGCGGCATATTATTAAACTCTTTTATTTGTTTTTGTATTTTTTTGTTTTTAGAATTTTTTTATATTGTTTATGTTTGTGTTTTGAAATACACACTTTTTAAGGGCATTAATGCTGTGTTTGGTTAAATATTTCTACCCATATTTCTAATTTTATTCCTAAAATATTTTTGGCATATTATTCCAGAAATATTAGTGTATTCTTTAATTACTTTTAGACCCCTTAAGTTTATTAATTTCACTAAATACCCCTAGAAAAAAGTTTAAAAATTAGCAAAAACACCTCCATCAACCCATACTTGCCAGATTCCGGCAACCACCGTCGGTGATAGCCAGAATCTATACAACGGCCTACACCACGATCAGAACTTGCCGGTAGTTGATCGATCTGGCCGGGCCAAATAAATGGCCATCGTTGACCGAAAACAACAGTCATATGACGACCAAAGATAGACTTCTTTGGGCTTTTCCGGCCATCGACGACTACATCTAGCCATATATCTGGCCTTTTCTGGCTAGATCCGTAGTGGATCTTATCGAAAAATGTCATATTGACGCTTTACGACACAAATTCGACTGGTCTGTGTCGTAACACAATTTTCTAGCCAAATTTCGGCGGTGGTGGCCAGAATCTGGCACTACGGGTGGTGGGGGTATTTTTGTCATTTTATATCTTGGGGTGTTTAATTAAATTAATAAACCTATGAGTTTTTTTATAAATTTTTCAATTTTATCTCGTAATATTTTCCTATTCAACTACCTAAAGGCATCTCCAACCCACGCCAAAGCACCACGCCATTTTGGTGTGGCACTACAGTGTTGCGCCAAATTTGGTGCAGCACTATAGCGCCACACCAAAATGGTGTGGCACTGTAGCAGCATTAATTTTTTTTTCTTTTTTTATTTTGTTTTTTGTTTTTTGTTTTTTTTTTTTTTGGCTAAGTTAATTTGAATACTAAATTTTACATCAAAAATCACACCAAATTTGATTATTTGTATTTAATTTGATTATTATTTATAATAATAAATTCATAATAATGATATAATTCAAAAAATGATGAAAAATTAAAAATAAACTTTATTCAATGCAAATATTAAACTACAATAACTCAAAATAAAAATTAACACTAATTTAAAAACACTAAAATTAAAAGAAAAAACTAAAAAAACAATTTAATATTCTGATATATTAGTTCCAGATCCAGTAAGATCATCAAAATATTGAAAAGAACTAGAGTTATTTTCATATTTTTAACCTTGTTGTTGAGCTCTTTTTTGCATAATTCTTGATTGCTCATTTTGAAAAAACTCACGTAGGCTTGGATCGGTTATAGAATTCAAATCCTTGAATAAAATTTTGTTATCTTCTCGATATTCTGTCAAAGCCAATTTTTTCATTTGGATTTTATAATTTTGTACCCTAGCTGAGTTGCCCCGATTGAAAATAGCAGCGAGCTGTTGATTTTCTTCTTGAATAGTTTCAAAACTGTTTAAAACTTCTTTATCATTTTTCCTTTTAAATTTTGCTTTCTTCACCCCAATAGGTAATACATCTTTTTGAATAAGCCACAAATCTCAAAAGCTTGAATGGACATTACATTTTTTTTTTTTTACTGGTTCCGTTGCGCTAACTACCCCCAATATTTTATCACTTATGTTTAGAGAATTTGACACATGTTACAAGGCCCAATTGGGGAGACTTTGAAGTGAGAGTCTCTGATTCTTGTGATACAAACCTACCGTTTGCCTTTGAAATACCTCAGCGGCGTTAATTATCTGTAAATTTTTCAATATCCTTAGTATAGCCACACATGATCAAATTTGAAACCTTTCTTTAACTTTTATCTTTGTGTAGTATATTTGGCTTGAATCATTACAAACAATATACATATAACGTTAAAATCAATTAGATAAAAAAAATTAATTAAATATACAATACTCACAATATCTTGCTGAAGCACCACTTAGATTCATATTTTCAATTGACGTACAATCCCCTCAATTTGCCAACTTTAAAGATAGTTGCATTCGATATTGCAAAGATCTTTTGTTTCGAACCGGTGAGAAACACGTTTTGGAACTATTGAATTCAAGCTCAACTGAGACCAGATTGATCACTAGATTGGTTTATACCTAAAATCGGGTTTTGAGAAAATCAAGATAATATGACATAGATGCGTCTTCTTCATTTTTGTACGAAGATTTGTTGTGTGTCATTTTTACCACAAAGAAAAAGATTAATGTCTTTTTTTTTTTTTTTTTTTTTCTAAGAGGAAAAGAAGAGATGTGTTCAAAACTAATGTGTTGTATGCTTTTTTTATAACATAAGTTTGAATTGAAAGCTTGAATGAACAACACATCCTTTTGAGCTTGAATGAAATACATCTTTTGAAATAAGTTACAAATCTAAAAAGCTTGAATGGACATACATCTTTTTGAATAAGTCACAAATCTCAAAAGCTTGAATGGATAATATATCTTTTTGAATAAGCCACAAATCTCAAAAGCTTGAATGACAATACTTTTTGAATAAGCCACAATCTCAAAAGCTTGAATGGACAATACTTTTTTTTTTTTGTATCATTTTATATTAGATGTAATGTTTTTTCTATATAATGTATGTTTATTTTTTAAATAATGCTTAATTTATTAAATTATATTTTTCAAAATAATTATTATTAATAAAAATATCATTCCCATATTTTAATTAATATATACAAAATATGAGTGAAATAAATTATGTTGATATTACAATAAAGAAAAAGAAAAGAATATTTCTAAGGAATTTCTTTTGGTGTAATATTTGATGTAGTGGATTGGAGAGATAGTGTTTTACACCAAAATTTGCACTAATTTGTGCAATGAGTTGGAGGTCTTAGGGCATCTCTAACCCATGCTAAAGCGCCACGCCATTTTGATGTGGCACTAGTGCTGTCCATTTGGTGTAGCACTGTAGCGCCACACCAAAATGGCGTGACACTGTAGTGGTATTATTTTTTTTTTTTAATTTTGTTAAGTTAATTTGAGTATTAATTTTTACACAAAAAATCACACCAAATTGATTATTATTTTAATAATAAATTTATAATAATGTATATTCAAAAAATGATGAAAAATTAAAAAATAACTTTATTATCAATGCAATATTAAACTACATAATCAAATAAATATAACACTAATTTAAAACACTAATTTTCGATTTAAAATTTTCTTGCTCGACATAGACAAATTAAGGATACAGAGGCTCACTATACTTTCGAAATGCATTAATTGATCATTTATGGGAAGAACATACTAATTGGAAAATTAATTACTATGTTTTTTTTTTTTTTTTGTATCATTTTATTTAAATGTAATGTTTTTTCTATATTAATGTATGTTTATTTGATTAAATAAATGCTTAATTTTATTAAATTATATATTTTAAGTAATTATTATTTATAAAATATTATTTTTAATATTTAATTAATATATACAAAAATAATGAGTGAAATAGATTAATGTTGATTATAAAATAAAGAAAAAGAAAAAGAATATTTTAAAGATTTTGTAAAAAATATTCTTTTAATGTATATTGGTGTAGTAGGTTAGAGATGTAATAGTATTTTACCACTAAAAGTTACAGGTTGTTTATATTTATTTTTTATTTTTTAAATTTCTCACTTTTTCTGGTAAAACATCTAAATACAAAGGGTTAAAAATCATCAATTATATCTAAACTGTGAAACGTCTTAACCGATGCTTCATAAAACATCTGAATACTCTCACTAATGAACATGCTTATCCAACTTAATCCATTTCCTAAAGGGCAATGTTAAAGTTACTGAAAAAAGTATATCGAATTTATGCACTGAACAGATGTGATACCATCCGTTTTTTGTAAAAACAAAATCTATAATTAATCAATGGTCATGATGTATCATGTCTATCAATGCATAAATTTGGCATCCATTTTTCCATGATTGTATCATTTTTTTCCTAAAATATCAAAACCATTAATTAATTTAATTTTTTATAATTAATTAAATTATATAAATATCATAATTATTACTATTAATAATTTAACTAATTGCTGTACACATTATAAATACATACTATTAACATTTTTAATTAATTAATATAGAAATTTAGATAATACAAATAAAAAAATATTATCCTTACAAAGACCCATACAAAGAGGGTTACAAAGTGACATCAGCAAAAAGAAAAAAAAAAGAAAAAACAGAAAAAGAAAGAGAGAAAAATCATAAAAATCAAAGGTGAAAATTATCTTTATATGTCTCTTTTATATGTGTCTTTGTAAAACTAGCATTACTCCATACAAATATAATCATTTTATAAAAATAATTTTATTTTAGACTTTTAGTTACATCGTTGTCCCATGGAATCTTTGACACACTTTTGACTTTCTATTTGTCAGGGTATGGCCGAAACCCACTCCTTAATCAGCGCCGTTAGTTCCACGTCATTGCCACGAACCTTCTTCAAATAACAACAAAACTCAACCAATCACATCTCCCCTCTACATCACTTTCTCTCTTCTGATTGGTCCTTTTACGCCACGTCACCACTTCTAGATTCTCCACCACTCATCTCCAACTACAGCTCTGCAAAAACCCGCCTATTTTCATCTCTCATTTTTTATATTAAAACAATTATTATTAAATCAGCACCGAAACATTACTGAATCTCGGCAACCCGACGCACGATTTCTGTTCCGATTTGCTCCGGTTCCTGGCCACAAGAATGTTCCTCAGTTCATTAACTCGTTATCTGACCTTGTTTCTGGTTTTGTCTACGGTTCTGCCCTCGTCTACGGCGTTGGTTTCTTCGCCGGAGATCAATCCTCCGTATCCTAAAGCCATCTCTGTAAGTAATTGAATTTTGATCTAATATCTTTTATTTTCAAAATAGTTTTTGAAAATTTTGGCTGTTCTTTCATTAATATCGGATTAGTTTAAAATTTTCGTAATTTATACCAAATTCAGCAATTTTTTAAGACAATTTTTGACGAATTTCGAAATCGGGTTAAAAATCTTAATTGAATCGTACTTATTTTCTTTCTACAGCATGAATTAATGAGTTACTGATTAATTTTCTTAAATAGGATTTGAAGGAAGCGATTGTAAAGGGATTAGGGTTTCAAGCGGAGGATTTTAAGATATCGGGGTTTGATCTTCGTGATGCCTTAGTGGGGCACTCGGTGGCGTATGAATTTGATGTAGAAATCGACAAAAAGTTGATGCCTTTTAAGCTTTTGGAGGATGTGAACAGGTGGGAGTATGTAGATTTGCCGATATTTAGAGTTGAAGAATCGATTGGCAATGAAAATGGGTTGGTGAAGAAGCGTAAATTGGATGGCGGGTTGCCTGTTTTGGCTCCGTTTCAGCTTGCTGGGCCCATGGAGTTGTGGATTCAGGATGCTAAGGATATGCGTATTTCATTGCCGGTAATTTTATTTTGCTATTTGATTTCTTCAGTTTTCTGTTGAGCTGGCTTTTATTGTGAATTTAATGGAGGTTTAGAATTTATTTTTGTTATGTTGAATGAATAAAACATGTTCCCATTCAATGTACCGGTAGTTTTGTCTCTTAGAATGTTGTCAATGGTAGAGAAATTTTGTGAAATTTTCTACTAAGGAATTAAGTACTTCAGTTCTTTGAGCAGTTGATTATCTCTTTCTGTTAAATAAATAATTATTTGGTGTAGAGATAAGATCTTAAATGATGACGGTTGTTAATGATGACCGATTGATTTATTAGAATCTTCAATTAGGAATCTAATGAATTTGTATCCTTTCAAGAAACCAATTTTAAAGTTTGAATTGTGTGAATGAACTGGAGATGAACATATGGCTAAGTTGTTCTGGGATTCATGAGCATGGAGATTGGTTTTGATTTGACCATCTAGTTGTATTTGATGTTACTTCTTTCTCTTCTTTTGAAGGATCTCTTTTTCCTCTCAGTAATGAGATGTATAGAATATAAAGCTCTTGAATTTATTGGTTTGAATGAATAGTGTTGGATGTTAGTTATTAAGTGTACAAGTTATCCAATTTGAGATCGGAGGCTTGCAACTTACTGTAATCAATTGCTGACTTTGATGATACTGCATGACTTTATACAAAATAATTATGGGTTCAAACATATGTTTTGTCAGAGCTAATGGTAGTACAGTAGTGTCAAAATGTGAACAGTGTGATGAAGTGTGAACAGTTCGGATTGGATTGATTTAGCATGAGAATCTGGTATTTAGCTCACTAATGTTAAACCTTCTTATTATTGAACTACGTAGTTATTTCGAGTTTATTTTTTGAGCTAATGGTGATTTAATGATGCAGCATGATGTTGATGCGGGTGTCTTGAAGAAGGTCATCTTAGCAGATGGTGCAGTGGTCACTGTCAAAGGTGCCAGATCAGTTAGCCTGCGTCACCCCATTGATTTCCCTCTCCCCTTGAATCGAACCAATAACGGGTTTGCTTCTGGTCTTCTAACTCTAGCTGAACAACTTCGCCATGCTACCCGCACTCAAAGTGCTCCACTCCTCTCGCTCCGCATTGTTGGCCCTACCTCTCTCTCAGCCCCATCCTCGTCATCCCCATCACCGAATAACAGGCTTAAGCTTAAGCGTCTGGCTCCTGGCCTTGTGGAATTATCTTCCCCTACGAAAACTAAACCTATGGACGCCCTTTCAACCATTGATCTCCAGGAAGAATCCGCTACAGTTTTGACTCCAAAACACTTCGCCACGATGTGGCCTATCGCATCTGTCAATGGCTCAAACCGTAACTTGCTAGGTTTTGAGAAATTGCTTTCTTCTGTGCTGGGTCCCAAGGCTAACGAGAAAGGTTCTTTCAAGCTGTTAAAAGCTGATGTATCAGCTCAGACTTTTGTGAAAATTGGTTTTGCCGTGGAGAAGAAGTTGAAAGAAGGAGATGTGAAGGATTTTCCTGAATGGAGGACTAAGCCTGAGACAGTAAAGATGCACTTTGAGGTGCTGGCTATGGTCGATGGCGAGAAGGTCATACCACAGACAGTTATGCAGGTTGACCCTGTTATCGTCGAGGACACCGTTGCACCAAATGTGATGCTCCTCGAGAACAGGACTATGACACAGACTCCTGTTATTTACCCTCCTTTGAGCCCCTTCACCCTGTAACTTCTTGGAGCTTTAGGGTTTTCAAATTTTGTCCATGCTATTGGGGGGCAAAATGTAAAGATGAAATACTTTGAATTGTCTACAAGGGAGTTAGAAGAGTCTAAATATGTATAAAGAAAATTACGTAATGAAGTTGTAAAAGTCTGTTTAACATAATAATATTATAGTATTTTTCTGACTATCAAAACAAATGCAGCGCATCAGGTTCATGGAAGCCACAACAGTGCCACACACACACACGCGCACACACACACACACACACATATATATACCTGAAAATACAGATACAACATAAGACTGCTAGTTACAGAAGTCTTAACATTACGAAGAAAGAGACACAAAGTCATATAGAAGATTTTCTCATTTTTTGTTCATTTCTTGATGAACGAAATCCCCTTCTGAATGCTACCTGCTAACTCTGTCTTTGCTTTCTCCAAGCCAATCCTGATGAAAGTCACAAGGTAAATAAAAATAACAATCTGCTGTTTCATACACCATATTTTGCACATTAATATAAGCAAAAGGTGCTGATACATTTGTTTCTTAATACCTCTCATACTCATTCAGTGGTCCAAGTTGGAAGACTTCTTCGGCTCCAGTACGACCAAGTCGTACCTTGGATGCAAAGAAAGGGAGTTCTGTCACCTGTTATAAACAGTATGATTCATCATTAGAAGTTAAACTGGAAAACTAAAAGCATCCAAATAATGGCTCGAAGTAAGAACCTGAGATGCAACGAAAGAACATTCTACAACACCAGCATCTCCTCGCAGCCCTCGGAGGCATGCGTCAGCAAATTTAACAGCTGCATAAGCCTATTCATAATGTAATGTTCTTTACTTTCTAGATTTTATTAAATAAATAAAGCTGCGAGATTCAGAGTGTATTGAATACTAGAAATCAACAAAAAAAAGTATACAAATTTCGCTAACCATTGAAAGTGTTGCAGAACCAGCCCCAGCTTTAGCCTGCAGATGACATAAGCACTCTTTACTCAACTATGATTAAATTATCAGTGACAAGAAACTGTGCAGAAGGGAAGATACTAAAACTCAATTTTTGTGGCATTCGTGCATCAGAAATATTGTGAATTAGGTTGGTCTCCAGTTGTTGAAAACCATGATTTGGCACACGTTATGGCACTCAGGCAAAAGCAATACCCCATAATAGACTTATTTAAATATGTTGAAATGAAAATTGTGCAAAAGTAAAGTCTTCAACCGAAAAAAAAAAAATGGTATATAATTAAAAGGAATAATAATGTAGATTTTCCCAAAGCTTCAGCTCTAAGTCATAAGTGAAGATACCCTAGATGTAATTTTGTTAATAGCAAAGTTACTTCTGTTAATCCCAAGTGCCCAGTACAAGTACTATGTTCAACCAAGAACAGTCGTCAATCATCACTTTTAAATTTTCAGGGTCGTAACTGATGTTGCAGAATACCTATGATCATGCACGAACGACAAACACCTTGAAAAAGAAATAAACCAGAACCGAAATATTAGACCACTGGAGAATAATTGAAGAATTAAAGAGGTACTTCTATCCACTCTGTTAGTAGAAACTTTTAAGGAGTATGATTTATGTTTGATCAGTCTCGCCAGCAGAATAGAAAAGATAAACAAGAAGTAAGATAATTAATAACATGCTGCTTATTTTAGTTTCCCACTTCTAATGCACTCAAAAGATAAAAAAGATCTGATTGGCATTACCTCAACAACCTCGGTACCACCATTTTGAATTCGATGTGTCAGGTATTCAGTTTCTTGGGCGGTGAAGGAGCAAGGAGGCTTAACCTGCAAAGAATGTTCAAATTCAGTGATTGTTGAACGCAGTTCATAGAATGACATGCCAATGCTCATATGCCAACATGTTTAACATTCAAAAGGACGCTAATAGTTTTGAAAAATAATAATTGTACAAGACCTGTGACAGAAGAGGCAAAATTGTTACTCCTGAATGTCCTCCAACAACTGGAACATCAACTTCCCTAGGATCAAGTCCCAGAACTTCTGCCTGTATGGAGATATGTGAACATAAATACGGATTTGTTTATCTCCGTGATATGAACAACAGAAATTAGATAAAATTTCTAGCACATTTTGTGATTTATGAGCTGCTACCCTACTTGGTTTGTTCTTCCTATTCATCGTCTATGATGTCCAATCAAGTTTCAAATTACTACTCAGAATCCAGAAACATCATTTTGGTTGGGAAATATTAAAATAAGAAAGGATAATGAATCACTGGAAAAAACAAGTTTGTAGGACACAAACAACAATAACTAGTTTAGAGCTCCTATCAATTGCAATTCCGAATTAGTGTGATAGCAATTAAACCAAACAATTCAAGAGCTGAATACAAGAAATGAAGTTAGTTTTACAAGGCAAATATCGTTGCCCATCGAAGGACTAGAGATATAGGCTTAACATGAAGATGGCTTGGCGCATATGCACTGTTGCAACTAGAGTTTTCTTAGTCAAGTCAATCTGTTACCCAATTATAAGTATGCTTATCGGTCATTCTAGCTTTAATTAAACAAGAAATCTTATCATCTAAACAAGTTAAATTAGAAATCCATGGGTTTGTTAATATTCTCTTACATACCACAAACGTGTTCGCTCTTACAACATCGAGCATAGTAACTCCCAGAAGTCGCTTTGGATCATAAGTGCCAGCTTTCTTGAAAACCTCTGCGGCAATAGGAACTGTTGAATTCACTGGATTACTGATCAAGTTGACAATTGCATTAGGACAACTCTTTGCAATGCCTTCACAAAGGGTCCTCACAATTCCAGCATTGATTTTGAAAAGATCATCCCTTGTCATTCCAGGCTTCCTCGGTACTCCAGCAGGTATAATCACAAGGTCCATGCCCGTCAGAGCACTCTCTAGCTGTGGCTGTCCTAGGAAACCACGCACCTGAAAACAAGAAATGCATAAACACAAAACAAAATACAATCCGAAATTGAACACAATGCGAATCAATACTATAAGAAAAGTAAGTCAATTACCACAGCACCAGTGTCCATATGACTAATATCAGCCGTTACACCAGGGGCGTTGACAACATCATAAAGGTGAAGGACTGAGACCAAGGGATTCATTTTCATGAGCATTGCAAGGGGTTGTCCAATGCCTCCAGCAGCACCCAGGATGGCTACCTTGAATCCGGGCGCCCCACCTTTTCCCCGGCAATTTGCTTGCCTCAACCCGCAATTCTCCTCCATCTACTCAAACAATCCACACAATATTAAATCATATATCGAAGATTCATGGAAAAACAGACATAAAAGAAACAGAAACTAAGGAAGAAAAAACCTGGAGATTTGGAGGGCAGAGATGAGCAGAGATTCTTGCAATGCGATGGTTGGCTTCAGAACTGAACTCCATGTTGTTGAGAGTAGTACAAGTGAGGAGTGATCAGAAAGTACATGCAGATAAAGAAAATGAACGGATTTAAACAAAAATGAAAATGAAGCGATAAATGGGAAGAATAAAACATGGGGAGATGGAAGCTAGAAGTTGACATCATTTAACGTTTTTTTTAAGAAAACAAAAAAAAAAAAAAAAAAAGGAAATATTTGTGTGGAAAGTAGTTATTGATGGCTTATCCTATCCAATTCAGAAATGCTGTGGTCTCGGATTGCTGAACAAAACTTGGTTATGATCTCTTCGCAGTCTGGGTTTTGTTGTTTATCTAATGCTCTAAGTTGTGATTTTTTTTGGTTTTTATAGTTACGTGTCATCCACAGAACTTGGAAAGGAATGTTAAACCTCATACTAAAAACTTTGGAACTATTTTTCAATCATTGAATATCCTACAAGCTAAATAAGTAAGATAAATTACAATATAGTAGTGGTTATTTGGTAGACTTAAACACAAAACCTTTAATAACTTAGGTATTTTCATTCGCTCGTAGCCATAAACACAACCCCTCACGTTGGTGAGAAAATTACATTATACTTGTTCAATGAGTGATGGGTAAAAGTTTTAATTTTTTTTGACATATAATAAAATGTATATCCAATTTGAGATCGATAAATGTAACATAAAGTCTTTCCTTACGTTAAATGTTGATTGTTTTTGATAGATTTGAAGTTAAAATTCGAAAACTCAAATAGGGCTACGTTAGTATGACAATTTTGGATGCGAATTTATAACATAAATCCTTGTCTATTGATTCAAGACAATCCACGATTTAAAATTGTTGATTTGTAAATACATCTAACTTCTCTTTTTCAACCATTCATTCAAGAGAATTTAGATAAACATTTGTTTCCAAAATCAGTGTCAAAAATTTGTGTTAAAGTAGCCTAACCCTATAAAATGTACACATTTATACGAAGAGTAATACTCTTTCCGTTTTTTTATATAGTCGTTTTAGTTTGAACACGGGTTTTATAAAAAAAAATTTTGTCTCTCCCACCAATTTTTCCCCTGATTTTGTAGGTGGGAGAAGACTTTGCAAGTGATAAAGACAAGAACAAATGGAAGAAGACAGAGGAGATTGTGAGCATGATGAAAAGTGAAGAAAAGACAAGATAGAAGCGACTTTTATTTTAAAAAATTAAAAACCCTTCAAACACTATTATAAAAGAACAGGGGTACTATGTACACAACTTTGGATATTATTATTGATGTGTCGGTGTCAAATTAATTGTTAAATTTTATGATGTGATATTGTATTTTATATAAAAATAGAGCCATTACATCCCCACCACCACATCTATTAGGATCTAAACTTTATATGTCTAATATGGCTGAGTGGTTCGATAGAAATTCTGGGTATATTATTCAAGAGGCCCTGAATTTGAATCTCTCCTCATTTCTATTAGGGATAGCCAGGAGTTCTAATTCAACCAGTAATCTAAGCTCTTAGGAGATTAGTTGAGGTATCTGTAAGCTGGCCTGGACAGCCCTAGTCATACAAAAAAAAAAAAAAAAAAAAACCACCCATGAAATGAGCTAACAAATTCATTTCACATCACTCTTATGTGAATTGAGTTAATTAGTGTTGAGTTTGGTGAAATGAGCTAACAAATTTAATTATCAAACTTAATTTCATAATACTATACTCAATGAAAAATAGCAACTTATATTTTATTGGCTAATAATAATAATAATAATAATAAATACTGTTTATCAACTACTGATTTTACACCTAATAATATCAAACATTGATACTGGTAACATATACTATATAAATTATTGGAAAAGTGAAAAGGTGCAAAATCTTTAAATTAATAAATTAAAATTTTTGATAAAGTAAAAAAATTGTGGACCTCTAAGGTATAACAAAAAGGCTTAGTTGTTCTTTATAGTTTGACCCCAACTTCCTCTTTTTATTAATATTTTCTTTTTTTATTACTACATTTTCATTAGTTTTAATTGCATATAAGAATTACAGAGACAAAATACGAGGAATGAATATAATTTCCCAACCAAAAGTGATGGACAATATTCTAACCCAAGGCCTGGGCTCCCTCTGGACTACCGTTGGATTTGGGCCGGGCTCCCTCCGGACTACTCCAAGTCTTAATCGTTAATTAAGGAGATAAAAACATCAACTTGGTTTATACTATTTTATAACGATAAAATTTTATAAATGTTTTAGATAAACTAATGTGTTTTAAGATGATTGGACTTTAAATTTAATAAATTAAAGGGGATTATATATCAAATATACAAGTTCTCACATAAATTTGGGAATAGTTGCTATATGTAGTAAAATATACCAAAAAGTTAACTATCTATAAATAATAATACAAACCATCTCATCATGCCATTAAATCTGTACTAAATTGATAACTTCTATATGGTTTTGCCCTAAATATTTATTTTTTGTGGTTATTTTCTCTTTCTGTTTGGTGGGCCTGAGCCCACTAATGGGCTTCAGTTTAACTACAGGTTTTTTTTGTTTAATGGTTCATGTATTGACTGAATTTAGCAAGTCCATGTTATGGTGACTATTTAGTAAATATTGTACCTATTTCTCAACCCTTCTAAAAGGAACAAATAATTCTAATTGACCAACCTTTGAAATTCATTCTGAATTTTTTCTAGGCTACATCTATGCTCCAAGAACCACTTGAGGATTGCAATAGGTCTTGAAGCTTCAAAGTAGAACACCTGAATACCTGATCCATTCATACACCAAAATACAACGGAACAAAAATTTAAAAAAAAAAAGAAAGAAAGAAGAAATTTGGAAGAGAAAATTAGTACAAACACTATCACAATGGTGGCCTTGGTTAGCAACCATCATGGCTACAACAGTGGCCTCGTAAGGTCATCATCGTGGCCACAACAGTGGCGTTGCAAGGTCACAATCATTACCTTGCCTGGGCAATGTTGTGGCCTTGCAAGGCCATCGAACGACTTCAACCAGTGGGAGAGCAAAAGTGGTCGATGACTTTAACTAGTGGGAGAGCAAAAGTGGAGGAAGTGGGTGTGGGGATGGGGGCGAGGAAATGAAGGAAGTGGGTGTGGGGATTGGGAAGTGGAAGTGAGGTTGGAGGTGGAGCAAGCAGTAGAAAAGTGGGGAAAGGAAGTGAGGGTATATAATGTTTTTAATTAAAAAAATTATCCAATTATTTCTTATTTTTATTAATTTTAATTATTAATCAATTATATTTTACTTGTCATTTACATATTTACCCTCTAGTTTTCAAAACTAACAATAAAAGTTTGACGGGCAACATACGGTAGAGGGTTCATAGCTATTATGGATAGTTGGATACCACAAGGGGTTTATTTACTTATGGCAAACTTAGGGGTTTAGGGTGATATTCTCCTTAAAATTCTTGTCACAATCCCATAATCCCATAATCCCTTACTTGCCTCTCTTAGACTTCTTATTATACACCACAAATTAATCTGATGGTCTTATCATTACCTTCCCCTAGAAAAGCCACCTTGTCCTCGAGGTGGAAGGAAGGAAGGAAATTGATAGTTGAGAGTGGTAAAGTCTTCCCATGTGTTTTCATAATGAGGCAATCCTTGCCATTTAATAAGAACTTCGTGGTCTCCATTTAATAACCAACGTATTTTCAATACTTCTTAAGGTTTCACATTTAGGATCAGGTTCTCATCAAGGTTGTCTGGTAGGGGTTGGGTAGTAGGTGGAGGGAAATTAGCCTTCTTGAGCTAGGAGACATGAAACACATTATGGATGCAAGCTATTAGTGGTAGTGTTGGCCAGTAGGTGACGACATCTATCTTGTCGAAAATCAAAAAGGCTTCATAATACCTTGGGCTCAACTTCTCATTAAATTTGGTGGCTAAGGAGTAGAAGTGATAAGGTTGGAGTTTCAAATAAACTGACTCACCCACCTCAAAAGCTACTTCCCTTCGTTTCCCATCAATATAGATCTTCATGCGATTTTGAGCCTTAGCGAGGTTGTCCTTTAATTCTTGCAATATGAAATTATGATCTTGTAATTGTTGGTTCACCTCATCTACAATAGAGCCGGTGTCAGTATACTTCAGGACAGCTGGTGGGTCTTGACCATAGAGTGCCTTGAAAGGTGTCATTCCTAGAGAACTACTGTAGGTAGTGTTGAACCAATATTTTGCCCAATGTACCCATTTGCCCACTGCCATAGCTAACCACTCACAAAACAATGAAGATAAGTTTCTAAGCATCTGTTAACTACCTTAGATTGGTCATTTATCTAGGGATGATAAGCTAAACTCATAAGAAGATGGGTGTCGGATTGCCTAAACAACTCTTTCCAACAATGACTCATAAACACACGGTCGCGATCTAAAACAATAGTTTGCAGAAACCCATGTAGCCTTATGATTTCCTGTGCAAACAAGGCTGCCACATCCTTTGCAGTGTAAGGGTGTTTGAGAGTGAGAAAATGGTTGTACTTTGTGAGTCGATCTACAACAACTAAGATAGTATTGACATTTTGAGCTCGGGGAAGTCCCATTATAAAATCCATAAAGACGTCTTCCCAAACTTGAGTGGGAATATGGAGGGGTTGTAAAAGGCTAGCTGGGCGAAAAGCTTCGTATTTACTTTGTTGGTAAGTCGGACAGGCTGTTACAAATGATTTGACATCTGTTTCCATCCCTTCCCAGTAAACCACATTAGAAAGCCTTTTATAAGTTCGGAAGAAACCAAAATGCCTCCAATTGGTGAAGAATGAAACTCATGTAGAAGCTTCTGGATATGTGGGTTGATTTTTGGTAACACCAAGCAATCATGATACATCAATTGGCTTGGTTATGATACATCAATTGACTTCCTATCAACTGAAAAAAAGATGGCTACTTGAATCTTTTATCAATTCTTGAACAATCAGCCGCATCTTAGGATCTTGTTGGATAGCCTTTTCTAACTCTTCCATCCCCGAAAAGCATACTAAGGAGAGGGCTATTTGATCTGCTATTTCACCTCTCATAGATAATGCATTAGCAGCTCGATTTTCAAACCCGAGTTTATATTGAATCTCAAAATTCAGCTCAATTAACTTGGTGACCCATTTTTGTTGATC